TTTTTTGGTCGGGCAGTGTATGATTGTGGTTGGAATGAGGTCTTTGATTATTCCGTATGTAGTCCTTCTATGGACAGATATATTCCCTACCGATATACATGATTGCTGGATGTTATTCATATACAGAACTAGTGACTTAGTCTAGAGTACCTTAAATCCAGATAACATGAAATCCGTCATGTTTATTTCCCCAGTAATACCACACTGCTGCTCTCTGTGGGAATCATAGGAGTGCTTCTGCTGATGCTGCTGTTACTCGCTGTTATCATGATTCTGTGCAGAAGATCCGGTGAGGATGGCCGCTTTCTAAACTTTAATGAAAACCTTTGACTGCTATAAATAAGATATAGAAGTGAGTCAGTTTTTCCTAAATTACCGTCTTTCATTTTTTTAGCAATGGCACAGGCCAGGAACACAGAAAACACGGCTGCCCTCACTGTAAGTGTGTCTTTTGACTTCTCATTTACGTGCTTTTTTAAACGTTTGGAGTCCATCTGTGAATTTTCCACCACAGTCTGGTCTGGTCCTCCACCATGTAAGTGCAGCTTAGCAGAGCTGAACGTGTGAAAACTGCAGCAAAGCAATGAGCAGATCACGCTAATAAGCATTAGCTCTTACACCACAGACAATGAACGTCATTCTTTAGCATCTTATCTCGCATCACATGTCATTGTCTCCCTTTCCTGCTGGTCTGAGCACTGGTTAGTTTATCAATGCATATTCAGGAGTCTTTAAATATTTATTGATAAGTACAGTAGTACCTCCGTTCTCGAACTCACTAGAACTCAAATTTCTTGAAAGTCGAACAAACCAGTTTGACCTAGAATTCGATCTGAATATCAGAAGTCGAACCGTGAAGGCTGACCTAATATAAATTGTACGCACCAGGAAATGAGTCATACTACAATGCAATTCTTACTTGAATGCCTTCTTCACAGACTGGTCGATTAAACCAAATAAAACAGCGCGACATTACAGTAACTAACAATAAATAAACCACTAACTTACATGTACTATTAGAGCATTTATGTAATTTATTTAAACTTTATTTTACCAGGTAAATTAACTGAAAACCAGTTCTCACTGCTTTACGTGATATTCGGGAGAAATAGCAGATTACGCATCGGAACTGCCTGGGATACAAATGTCATGCGTGTAACTAAACTCTTCAGCCAATAAGGACAAAGGTGTGTCGTCACGGAGGCGGTTCCATGTTTACAGTATCCATTTACAGTGTATGTCCTCTCTGTAATTATACAGTGTAACAGTAATGGTACATGATTACAGTATCCATTTACAGTGTGTGTCCTCTCTGTAATTATACAGTGTAACAGTAATGGTACATGATTACAGTATCCATTTACAGTGTGTGTCCTCTCTGTAATTATAGAGTGTAACAGTAATGGTGCATGATTACAGTATCCATTTACAGTGCGTGTCCTCTCTGTAATTATACAGTGTAACAGTAATGGTACATGGTTACAGTATCCATTTACAGTGTGTGTTCTCTTTGTAATTATACAGTGTAACAGTAATGGTACATCTTTACAGTATCCATTTACAGCATCTCTTCCCTCTCCAGCCCACTGTAAAACCCGGGGATGAAGTGACATACATCTCAGTAACAGCAAAAGCCAGAAATACAGCACGTTCATCTACTCAGGTTGTGCCATTAGACAACATGGTAAGAACCTGGCAAACTGAACATAAACTGAGCCCCATCCATCCATCCATCCATCCATCCATCATGAACCATTATCTCTAAATAATTTCCTTGAGTTGCATATTATTGATTGTGGCATAAATGAAAATCCATGCATTTAATTTGGGTTTCTGCAGCTTGAAACAGTGCTGCCACAGTCTTGAAGACAATGCAGCCTAGTAACAGTGTGTCCTCCCTTAGGCTGGTTTACACTCAATGCTTGTCATGCATATATTTACCTGACCTGTCATTCCTAAGTGGTGTTGCTGCTCATACTTCCCCGTATAGTATACGTCAGTTATATATACTGTTACACCAGGGGTCTCCAACTCCGGTCCTGGAGAGCTACTATCCAGTGGGTTTTCTATCCTACCCGGCTTCTGATGAGCCATACCTGCTCCTGGTATTTACCTGAGAACAGGTGTGGCTCATCAGAAACCGGGGAGGATAGAAAAACCA